GTCACAGGTACGCAAAACTGTAAACTGATTTCTCTGTATCTGAACCAACTTGGTAACAAGCCCCAATATTTCCACTGCTGGCAGGGGGGACATGTGTCATTTAAGATTACTCAGTCATTTCAGGTATAAATTATAGTAACCAAAGGCATTCAATTTCATTAGTCATCAGGGGAATGCAAATTAAGACCACAAACTGAAGGCACAATGTACCACACAGCATAATCAAATTGAAAGTCAGGTAATACCAAATGTGGATGTGCAGCAACTAGAACTTTGTTCACTACTGGAAGGAGTGTAAATAGGTTTAGCTGCTTTGGAAAACTGCTTGGGAGCATGAGTGATGTGTGCCGGAACTCACAAAGAAGCGATTGCTAGGTTTTCAGGAAGTTTGCCGCAGGTTGATTTCACATTGGTAGCTTGGAATTGAACGGTGTGGGAGTATATACACCACAGGAACTGGCAAATGTTATTGATGAGCAACCACCCCAGAGAGAGCTAAAAAATTTACCAGCACACCTTGGGGCGGCGTACTCTAAAGCTCTACAGGGGCGCCTGGGTGGCGCAGTCGGTTAAGCGTCCAACTTCAGCCAGGTCACGATCTAGCGGTCCGTGAGTTCCAGCCCCGCGTCAGGCTCTCGGCTGACGGCTCAGAGCCTGGAGCCTGTTTCCGATTCTGTGTCTCCCTCTCTCTCTGCCCCTCCCCCATTCGTGCTCTGTCTCTCTCTGTCCCCAAAATAAACGTTGAAAAAAAAAAATTAAAAAAAAATAAAAGAATAAAGCTCTACATACGTGGATCCTGACTTGGCAAATTCATTTCCAGGTATATATGCTTCAGAAATGTGTATATGTGTTGACTACAAGCCATGCACGAGAATAATCGTAACAGCACTAATTGTAACAGCCTCAGACTGGAGACCCAAATACTCATAAACAGAATTGATAAACTGCCATGTTCACTCAATGGAATATTATACAGTGGTAAGAATAAAATAATTGCTACATACAAGAATCAGATGAATTTAAAAAAATGTTGGAACAAAAGGAGTCCAAACAAGAGTACATACTGTGTAGGGGAGGCTGGGTGGCTCAGTTGGTTAAGCAACTGACTTCGGCTCAGGTCATGATCTCACAGTTCGTGGGTTGAGCCCCGCGTTGGTCTCCGTGCTGACAGCTCAGAGCCTGGAGCCTGCTTCGGATTCTGTGTCTCCCTCTCTCTCTGTTCCTCCCCTGCTCGTTCTGGCTCTCAAAAATAAATAAACGTTAAGAATACATACTGTGTGACTCCACTTCATGTTAAAGTCAAAACAGACCAAATTAACCTCTGGGGTCAGAAGTCAGGGAGATGGTTAGGTGGCAGAGGGGGAGAGCAGCTAATGTGGGATGAGATGCAAGGGGATTCTGCAGTGCTGGAAGTGTCCTTCCAACCTAAGTGCTGGTTATATAACTTTATTTTATGAAAACTCATTAAGAAGTTCAATTTAAAAACTTAGTCACTCCTGGGGCGCCTGGGTGGCTCAGTCGGTTAAACGTCTGACTTCAGCTCAGGTCACGATCTCGCACTCTGTGAGTTTGAGCCCTGTTTCAGGCTCTGTGCTGACAGCTCGGAGCCTGGAGCCTGCTTCGGATTCTGTTGTCTCCCTCTCTCTTTCCTCCTCCCCTGCTGGTGCTCTGTCTCTGTCTCTCAAAAATGAATAAATGTTAAAAAAAAATTTTTTTTTAATAGTCACCCTCATAACTGGATATCCATATGGAAATGAACTGCAAATTAAATCTCTTCTACAAAAATTAACAAAAAATAGATAACAGATCTGAATGAAAAACAAACAAAAAATCTCTAAAACTTTAAAAAGAGAACAGAAAAAAATCTTTATGACCTGGGTTTGGGCAAAGTCTTTAGACCTAACACCAAACTCTTGATTAAAAACAAAACAAAAGGTCAATTATGTCTCATCAAAATTAAATACTTCTACTCTGTGAAAAACAGTCAAGAGAATGAAAAGACAAGCAACAAAATGGGAGATTATTTGCAAATTACCTGACAAAGAACTTGTATCCAGAATATGTTTCTTGGTTTTGATAAATATACTATAGCTATATAAGATGTTACTAGTAGGGAGAGCATTTTTCAACTTCTAGTGAATCCATAATTATTTCAAAACAAAAAAAGATCAATTTAAAAATATACTGGTATTTTTTCTACCAGAATCCCTACTGTCCCACATCTTTGGTATCCTAAGTATCTTCTAACACAATGTTAATGTAGGTCTAACCAATAAACCTTTCCTAGAGAGCAATTTGGCTAAACCAATCAAGCTATTAGAATGTATAAATGTTTGACCAAGAAATTCTATTTCTAGGAATTTTTCCTAATAATCAGAGACAAATACCAAAAAATCTGCACACGATGATTTAGTTTTTCATAAATATTTAAGTGAAAAAATTGAAAAAAACTTAAACATTGGAAACATGGGAGAACAGTTAGTATAGTATGATACACTCAGAAGACAGAATACAATGTAGTCATAAGAAATTAAGCCATAGAAGAATATTTATTGACATGGGAAAATGTTAACAATATGCTTCTATATGAAATATTCAGGATACAAAACAGTATATACAGTTTAATACCATTTTTATGGAAAGAAAAATAGCCATATATACAAAACCATGCACAGGAAAAAAATAGAAGGATGTACATAGTAAATGTTAATAATGGTTATCTCTAGATAGTACAATTAGAGGTGATTATACAATTTTCTCAGTAAATTTCACCTGCCGCCAAACAGTATCTGGTTCATGCTATTCTTTCTTGGGTGTGATTAGCTTGATGTAACTCTTTTCAAACAGACTGCTTCATGATATGTACCTCCAAACCATACTGCTTTTCCACGTAAAAAGTAGATGCTACTTGCTCTTACATAACTGGCATATGGATAATATTTTTAACTAACACAATATACTACAAAATATGCCACAGCATAGATCTGGCTATAGAAAATTATTGTATGGAGAATCTGAAAATCCTCTACTAGAGAGAAATTTTAAATAGAGAAAAAGATGCTCTCATTAGCTAGAGGTCCACAACGGTTGGGTGTAAATAACTAAGGTTCCAGAATTAGAGACTTTGGGATCTCTTCTTCCCAGCTAACTGACTTTAGGCAAAGAAGATTAGGTTTTTTAGTCAGGAAAATGTGATTAATAATTTTATAGAAAGATGCAAAAATAAGATTTTTTTTAAATAAGGGAAAATGAGATCACAGATATTAAAGGTCTTCCATAAAGACCTAAACAACTGAGATGAACAGCAAGAAAGAAATTCACATTTGGTGTTACAGAAAAATTAATTCAATTTTTCTGCAGCACCAAATTCTTCCTATTTTATATCTTTGTTCACAGGTTAGAATGTGTTAAAATTGTGAAATTATTTTAGTGTTAATTAATGGTCTTCAACTTCTTTAGTTAACAGTTAATAACACTGGATATACTTTTCATGGAATCTGACCTAGGTGTTCTAAATATATATAGCACATCCTCCGATGACTGTTGATCACTGGCAACATCAGACATATTTACAACAAATATGACTTGGATTTTATTTCTCAGAATCCATCCTAGTGGAAAGCTATTTACTCAATTTTTATTAAAAACACCAAATAAGGTTGTTGGATCTTTTAAAGGTAAGACATCAAGAGAACAGAAAAGGCTATCTATCTGTGTCTGCTTTTCTGCAATGCTTTCCATAATGCAAGCACCATTCCAAGTTGCCTCCTAATTTCTGTCCCCTTCCTTTGGAAGAGAATCTCAGGCAAATCTGCAATCAATTAATGACTCTCAATAATTGTTTGCAATCATATCTGAAGGGGAACAGTTAATGACTTACTGTTAGATCTCAAAGATAAATGTATTGTCTAGAGGTAAACAGCATAACTTGCAGATGAAAGGAACATAAAACATTGATCTTAAGGAAGATCTGGTAAGAATGGACAAGAGGGATTTTCTTTGTTTTCCCAACCAAAATGTTTGCTCCTTTTCGCCCCAAAGTCAAGGAGTTGAGAAAGACAGCTGGAGCATACCTACGTAACTATGCGATGATGCACTCCACCCCATACCAGTGTTGTTTTCCTACCTCTATCCCCTTCTAGAAAGGCCCCGTTAACTGCAGAAGAGCTTCTACAGTAGTCCTAATTCCTCAATGAAGATCACAAGAAAGGTACTCCCAGGATATGAAAAGACCCAAAACTTGAATATTACACTAACACGTTTCAGGGGCAAGAGACTACTGACACCCCATATCTACTGGTTTGCATTACAAGAATCAAAAAAAGTAAAAGCCAAAAAACCACATTTTGAAATTTCACAATCACCAATTTGCAACAGAAATCAAAGCATAACACTTGTGCTAACAAATATGTCAGATGAATTATCGCTTCAGCACATAACTGCAGATGGATACTCCTGGATTTTTGCTTAATCATTACTCAGTGATGAACACTATGAAATGCAAGGTGACTTCCTATGAACCAAAATCACAAGAAGAAACTCTCCAAGATCAATCTACAATGAGCTCCTATTCCAATAAGCCATAAAGAGCAGTAAAACGCAATATTCATTTAACATTATGAGAATCCCGATGACAAGATATCAGGTATTTATATTCCTCTCGAGACATTTCTTCCCCACCTAACAAAGGCACTTGACATGTACTGAAATGGACAGTTAATTCAGGTACTGCCCTGGACAACTGTTACCTTCCTAAGATTAGATGAAGTGGCAATTAAGTTCAAATTAATTCTTCTGAAGCAGCCTGAAATACACATGAATATATCACAAATTCTCTATTTTTGGCAGATGATATAACCAAAGAAGAAAAGGTAACGTTGGTGTCCACAATGGATTGGCTGACTTGAGCAGTCCAGGATCCTCTCTGCACAATATTCCTTGATGACTGTGGAATTTGTGTATAATTATAGGCAAATTAACCTGTTGTATAATTTTAGGTATTAATGTTCACTCCTCTTCTTGTCTTTTTTTACTTTTTTGTTTTTTCCCAAAGCCTTAGATGATTCCTCCTAAAAAAGATATAAATCAATGTAGTATCTCCCAGTTTATATCAAGATACTGCTTAGGAACCTTAAGTCTAATCATATAGAATAAACAGAACAGTGAAAATATAATTACTTCCATGTACATCATCTTTCTGTTTTATGGGACATTTTTACTTATAGTCTATTTTAATATTTCCAAAATAATCAAGGATAGTCAAGGAAAACACTCATCTAACAGATTTATGTTTGAATCTATTTAATCTATTGTGCACTTTTCAAAGTTAAGGTAGAAAACTTTAAATAAAATAAACATGTTTATAAAATATGAAACAAAAAAATTCAAAGTTTAAGGGCAGACATCCAAATGCATGCCAGGGGAGAGGGAAGGGACTCTGACACTAACAGTGAATATCAGAATTTTACATATGTTTAATTTTTTTTTTTTAATGTTTATTTATTTTTGAGACACAGAGTACAAGTGGGGAGGGACACAGAGAGAGGGAGACACAGAATCTGAAGGAGGTTCTAGGCTCTGAGCTGTCAGCACAGAGCCTGATGCGGGGGACCGTGAGATCATGACCTGAGCCAAAGTCGGACGCCTAACAGACTGAGCCACCCAGGCGCCCCGGAATTTCACATGCGTTTAAAGAACAGCTAGTTCATAGCATTAGCTACACAACCTCCCCTGGCCTCAATTTAGGGACTGAAGAATAATTGGGTCTTAAAAGTTTTTATAAAATTCTGTATGAATCTATGAAATTAAGGCTCAAAGGGATGGAGTGATCTGCCCAAGGTTACACAACTAACTGGCCACACTGTTTTTACTAGAACCTATAAGTCTACAATTGCCTAGTCCAAAGGTTTTCTCAGTGTACCACAAACACTCTGATTCATTCTTAATTTTCTGTCTGGGTTTGTTTTTTTTTTACTTTCACAGGCAATGGTGAGAAACTCTATATAGTATCAATAAGCACTCACCGGTGAATTTGTGTAGTTTCTCTCCACCAGTATGTTTCTGGCACAGTTGTTGATATGTTTAAAGCGATCTGGTCCTAGTAGAATTCCTCCGTACCAGCGTGATACTACCACCATGACATTTCTCACATTCAAAATCTGTTATTTTCAGAAGCATAATTAGATATACACATAGACACGTACAAATTCGAGTTCTAAACTGCACATACAATTTCCCTATGACTTGAATGGCAGAACCACCCGAGTGAGCAGAGTGAGATTCCTAAAATTCAGGCGACAGAATTTAGAAATCAAACACTGTGCTCCACAGTGTCCTCGAATTCCAAATTGTGGGGCAACTGGGAAGAATGAAGGGGAACTCATGCAGGTAGTGTTCCAGTTCTTCATGAATTCAACCAAAATAGCTCAGTTTAAGCAGTCTTTTGCCCCTAGGCCAAACAACAACCAAAACATGCTTCTGAACAAAACACTGGAAAGAACTCGGGCTGCATGGGTAACTGCTGGGGCCTACCAGCAAGGTCTTCCTCAGTTGGGTATCTGTCAAATGCTGTTCTTAACATGAAGCCCACCAGGCTACAGGCCTGACCACACAGAGTTCCTATCATGGAAATGGCCTGGTTAGAAAACAAACCTCCACATACGGTAACAGAAGAAACTATAACTACCTTAGGAAAAAAACCAATCTATTCTTAAAATTAACAGACAATTAAGATCAATGATCACCATACAGATGAAGAAAATCCAGCAGCATGAAAGAGAAAGGACAAGATAAACAAACTAAAATGGACCAGGAAAAATTTAAAGGGGGAGAACATCTAAAAAAATCCTCTAATTACTATTCTCAGAGAAATTGCATTCATAAAGCCAAAACAATACATTATAAAAAAGGGCTCAACCTCATGACCCCAAGGTCAAGAGTCACATGCTTTTCTGACTGAGCCAGTCAGATGCCCCAAGAAGAAAGAACTGTTAAAACTTAAATACATGATTGCTAAAAAAAAAATTTTAATTCAACAGAAATCTTGGAAGACAGGTAAGAAAATGTCTTAGAACATAAGGTGAGGAGATGGACAAGTTAATGAAAAAAGCAATATTCTGGGTCTATCCAGATGGTCCAATAATACCCAACTAACAAGAAATGCACAAAGACAGAACAGAGAAAATACAGGGACGACATTGTTGAAAAACAAAAGGGAGGTGCTTTTTTAGAGTTGAAGACAATCTTCTATCATTTATGACTGCCAGACCTTCCAAGCACAGCACTTGTTATTAACCTTGGGCTTTCTGCCCTGCATCAAGTGGTTAAACGTTTCTCTCAAGGTTTAAAAATTAACTACTAGTTATCCCAAATATATCTCATGTCATGTAGCCTAACTGATTTACTTATTCCTAAATGGGGCTCTGTTTCATTGAAAAATTTTATAGCTCAGAGAGCAGGATTACCAGGGTTTAACTTACACTTACCTCCATAAGATGGAGAAGACGCCCGCCAGCTGCTGTCTCCCCATCGTCCTCACAGTCCTGTAAGAAGGTCTGTTTATCCTCACAATATATTCTAGAAATACATATAACAGTGTTACACTTTGAAACTCCAAAATATTGCACCTAAAAGTTACACCTACATACTTGTTGCAATCAATTTACTTCCAAAATCTGCATATTTGTCAAAAAAAAATTCTTCTTGAACTATATATTAGATACATTTTCTCTGATTTGTTATCCAGTACATTTTATTTTTTTTTATATTTGGGAAAGCTAGGAATCAAGGGCACCTCCCTTAAAGCAGAAATGCTATAATTATGGAAAGGTGAGTTTATACATCTGACACTTCATCTATCTTGAAGCTATAAGGTTACAGAGAGTAGTCATTGAAAACCATTGATTGAGGGGCACCTGGGTGGCGCAGTCGGTTAAGCGTCCGACTTCAGCCAGGTCACGATCTCGCAGTCCGGGAGTTCGAGCCCCGCGTCAGGCTCTGGGCTGATGGCTCAGAGCCTGGAGCCTGTTTCCGATTCTGTGTCTCCCTCTCTCTCTGCCCCTCCCCCGTTCATGCTCTGTCTCTCTCTGTCCCACAAATAAATAAACGTTGAAAAAAAAAAAAAAAGAAAACCATTGACTGAGAATATACTGTAGAGAAGTATGTAGGCACCATGAAATGATATAAAGAAATAAGTGGCATACTTCAGTCTTCAAAGAGCCTTAGAGCTAGTGGAAGAGACAAAGAGTATATAAAAAAGATGGAGGTGATGGAATCAACATAAATTAACATTTTATACTTTCCTCACATCTTATTCTAGCCATCAAACATTTCTCTATCCTCCCCATTCTAAGAATTATAAGGTTTACCTTCTCTATAATTTTTCCCCTGGTTAATTATCAATATCTGAGATAAATCATGATATTTTTACCTATTTAAATTATCTAGAAAGTTTGCATTTGGAATAATAATTTGGGCTACATTGTAGCAGAATAAGCATGGCAAGTAAGGGTGAGATATAAAAAGAAAACAGTGACAGTTAAGGTATGCTGTCTACAGGATTTCTTAGGTCCCTACAGATGACACCATCTAGGACTAGGCAAACGCAGCAAAGATACTTTTCCAGCTGTGGCTATAAAAAAGCCAGATACTACCATATCTAATACCTAAGTCAATTATAGCAATCATATTCATATATTTATTACATATTCATATGTATTATAGCAATCATATTCATTCATTTATTCACTCATTCCTCCTTCAATCTATCTTTCCATTCACTGAGTCAATCAATATTTACTGTCCACCTACTATGACCAGGCTCTACTATTATTTAGAATTGACCTCATTCCAAGAGAACAATGTTCATGCTATTAGACAAAAGTTTATATGGAAAATTTAAGGCAAAAAGGTGTCAGCAGTTGGTGTATATTAGGACTGTAATTATAACCTAACAGCATAATTTTATGGAACAAATGAAGAAAACTTGAGTTACAAATCAGTGCTGTTAGGTTTTTTAAAAATGAGAATACCAAGGACATTTTTACTTTTTCGGCACATGCCAGGAAGACGATAATGCAGTATCCCATAGCTGTGTATACCAGAAGCCTGAAGAGTGCCTCGTAACTCCAAAGCAGGGACACAGCCCCAGAACCAAGAAGTAACCTTAAAAGGATCCTAAGCATTCAAAATATACAACACAAAGTCCATATACGAGATAAAGGTTATTTACTTTACTTCCAGTGGGATCCTGCAAGACTCCACTTTGTACCTGGTTTAGTCTTAGGTGCCACACAATTCTGGCAAGCTAAGCTCTTTCATTCCCAAGTGTCAATTGTAACATAATGGAGCAAGGTGGAGTAAGCGTGTAAGTCGTGCTGATATCTGTGAGAATTGACAGCTGGTCTGATCACCCACTAACTTGCAAAACTAAAAAAAGTACTTCCAGGTACTTAAAAACAAAAATCTGGGGACTGAAATAGAATATCTGGCATATTATTTAACTTTTTGATAACTTAAGATTAAAATTATATCCAGCTGATATAACTGATTGTTGAAGGTGCAGCCACAGAGCCATGTCGGAATAAAAGAGAGAGAAATCAGTTTATCAGACTCCACTTAACAACTTTGTGATCTTGAAAAAGCTAAACTTTTTGCAGGGGCAGAGTTCCTGAAATAATCAAAATTAACTTTCATAAACTATTTGGCACAGAGTAGGCACTCAATAAACACATGGGATGAATGAATGGCAATTAATACTTTTATAGCACATTCAAATCACCGAGAGCAAGCAGAGTCTAATCCCTTGTTTTTATATTGATGACCCTAACTCAAAACATCAAAATCCCGCCCAGGGATACTCTAGTAAGCAGGGAATCATATAACAAATAGTTTTTGGAAATTTTGGCACTTAAAGAAATGTGACTTAGTAATATAAAAAAACTCACCTATCCAAAGTGATGGATTGCTTTTTTTAATTTTCTGATTTTCAGATAGCCTAGATTTTACGAATATTCTCAATCACACTTTAAATTTGCACTAAATCTTGGGGCACTTGGGTGGTTCAGTCAGTTGAGCATCTGACTTCGGCTCAGGTCATGATCTCATGGTTCGTGAGTTCAAGCCCCGCGTCAGGCTCTGTGCTGACAGCTAGGAGCCTGGAGCCTGCTTCAGATTCTGTGTCTCCCTCCCTCTCTGCCCTGCTCATGCTGTCTCTGTCTCTCAAAAAATGAATAAACATTAAAAAAAAAAAGTTTAAATTTGCACTAAATCTCTATGTTTATATTCTGATTCATTTCAGTCCCAAAATGTTAAGTCTATACTAATTTACGTATTTAGAAATATATTCTTCCTCTGTTTACTAACACTTCAGCAAACATTTGTATAAAACCTTAGTATTCAAAACTAAAAGGAATACAGCAAAAGAAACACACTTACTTCCCTGCCAATGAAAGCATACATTGGTTTAAAAGAAAAACTTGGGAAAAAATTTGGCACTATGTATCAAGAGTTTCGAAAATGTTCATACTTTGATGATTTTACTTCTAGGAATATATTCTTTCTTCTTCAATTACACCCCCATTTCATTTCAAAAAATAATCTCAAGTAACCAGAACCTACTCCAAGTAAATAATCTAGAATGTATACAAAGATGTTCACAAGAATATTTTTTATAATAATGAAAAATATGAAAAACTAGAACAAAAAGAAAATAGCTAATTACGGTATACAGCCCGAAAGAAATAGTACACAGCCATTACAATAATGTCTATAAAGCAATTATAACAACATGGAAAAATGCTTTTGGTAAATTGTTTATTTCAAGTTATTTAAATTCTAGTTAGTTAACATAGATACTACGGCAATGCACTGAAAAAATAAAAGTTGCATAGAAGACAAGGAAAATGTATCGATACATTATCAAAATGTATCCAACTATTATCAGTTACATTTAATGGCAGAAAAACGCTGATTTTCCCTCCAATTCCTTTTCTTTTCTGCAGATTCCAAATATTCTATACGTGATTATTACTTTTATAATGAAAAAAACCCCACATAATAGTTGTTATTTTAAAAATGATGCATCAGTTTCCCCCATTTTTTACAAATTGAACATTCCTAAATTAGGTTTACTCACCGGTATGCATAGATGTTGTGGGTGGCACTAGCTATTTTCTTATTCTCATATAATTTGGCAAGAACCATCTTCACCTTAAAAACAGCAGTAATATAAATAAACCAATGTACACTATTTATTCCATAAATAAATGCTAGAAAAATATCTTAAAGCATATTGATATAAATACTGTTGTACTGAAATAGTGATTTATAGAATTTACTACACTCTGAAAAAGCGATTTCCAAAGTTTTCTCCTCATTTAAAGAGTCTACTACACTCTGAAAAGGTCATTTCCAAAGTTTTCTCCTCATTTTAGAGGCAGAAACTGACACTCTCAATTGGTATAAAAAACTACAGACCTGATATATGTTTTTTCTTCAAAGGCACAGGTAAGGCTTTATTGGGCCTTATAGTTTAAGCTGAAGCAGGGCACAGTGCTGACAGAGAGTGGTCAGACTGGCCTCCAGACCTGGTATTTTTGAGTACCAAATAGCAACAAATATTTAAGCACTAACTACGTTTAAGGTCCTTATAGATGAAATTGTCCCCCCTGTAAAGAATTTTAAACGTAAATATGACCATTTTTTAAAATCAACTCTGAAAGTTTATCACACTTATGTATCCAAATTGACAGGTACAACATGGTTATGTTCCAAATGTTGTAAGACCAAAGCTCTCTTGGAGTCCTATAAAGTTTACGGACAAGGTAACAAGAGCCAGATCTTGAAAGATAAGTAGCAATCTCTTTTGCACCAAAAGGGAAGAAAGGGGTGCAAGCAAGAAGAAGTCATTCCATTCAGAGGAAACTTCATGTGCAAATCTATCAGATTTAGCAAATAAAACATAAAGGATGCTCAGTTAAGTTGGAATTTCAGATAAACAACAAATAATTTTTTATTAGTAGTATGTCCCATACGATAGTGTTTATCTGAAATTCCAATTTAACTAGGCATCCTATATTTTATCTGGTAACCTTAGCAGGGACATAAAAGAGAAAGGTTCTGGAAACGACCAATAGTTTTATGTAGAAACTAGTTAGAGTATGAATGAGATGAAAGACAATGTATCAGGAATGATAAAGCTAGGGTCATATCGCAAAGGGCCCCATAGAAGAGTTTAGGTTTCTCCTTGTACACAACGGATATAAGCAAAGATTGGGGGTGGGGCCAGTGACACACAGTGAGATCTTTCAGAAAGGTAACTTGCTGGCAAAGAGTATGGAAGAAATACTGGAGGTAGGGAAGACTGAGCTGCAGCCAGGGAGATCAATTTGAATCGGAAACTATGTTACCTTGTGGTTATTACTTTTTAATCTTTCAGGTTCTCAGGTTCCTGATCAACAAAATAAAGCAGACACTGATCTTTAAGATTTATTTGAGCTCTCACAATTATGATCCTGTAAGTCCAAGAGACTATAATCAGAAAAAGAAAGAGGATCCAGGATGAACAGATTCAGAACATAATGTCTAAGGAGGACCCTGGCAACAAGATTATGGGCAACAGCCAAGGACAAACTGCGGACAGAAAGAGCCAGAAACCTGAACCAAAAGCTGTTATCTTGACCACAAGTCAATGCAGAGGAGAGTGAAAGTGCAGCCTGGTACAAAGAACTGTACCCTGTAGTTCAGGGCTTCAGAAGGGCTTACAGTTGAGGAGCTATAGAGACCAAAGAGAAGAGACTAAGGATTCAAACCTATGCTAAGTTAATGAGACTTTTGTTGTTAATTTAACTTTCTAGGTAGTTACAGTTTGTGATTGAAAATTCTCCCATTTGGTATCCTTGAGTGGGAATCAGGTCACCTAAGATCAAGAGGCAGAAAGGAAAAGGAATTCAGGTCAGAAAGACTCTGCTCAGCCAGTCTGTCCACTGTCCTCTTCCCTGGGCATCAATGGAGCCGACTTGGTTTTGCAGAACTCCCACACAATAGGAAAAATAATTTTTTTAACAAGCTATTAAGCATCATAATTTTCCACACATTGCACTTTTCTTGTTTGGAAATCCATTAGAGGGTTAAGCCCTAATTTGTTAAAACTGAAACAAATCTTCCATGATTCACAGTAATTCCGGGGTAGGAAAATGAACAAATAATTTTCATCTTATGTGAAAATTAAACATAACAGCAAACATAATAGGAAAACCATTTACTTGAATTACTTTGGTAAAACAACATCAAAGTGAACTGGACATAGAAACTTTACCTGTTTAGGACAAACTACCGGAGCCAAGTGCGCCTGAAAAGTACTTCTTCGGTCTGTAATAGGAATGCCATGATCAATCGGAGGTAATTCTTCTATTTCTATAAATTTAAAGAATTACATTATTTTATTTTAAAATTCTTACATTTGAATAATGAAAAATTGACAATGGTGTGAGCAGAGGGTGGGGAAGGGAGTTGGGAAAGACATGTAAATCATATAGCAAATCAACCCAAATTACCCTTAATAGCTATCTATTAAAATTATAATTTTAAGTAAAAAGTGTTCAAATGTAAGTAAGATTAAACTACTTGACTTATAAATGATTTTCACCTGTCAAGGTCACCCAGTAGGTTGGGCCTCAAATCCTTGGATGTTATAGTAGTATAAATCGGTATAATAGCTAAGTTTTAAGAGTATAAAAGGGTCCTAAGACCAAAAAGATTATCAGCTGCTAATATACCACAATTTATTTATCAATTTTGTTGATGGACTTCTGGGTTGGGAAACCTATGACTTTATTTCGTGTAGCTGTGATGAAATGTTTTCTGCTAATAAAACTGTTCCTTCTTCATAGGATTGAATATATCAATGATACACCAAATTGGTATTCCACAGAGTATCATTATTTCCAGTTATTCTGCCTCTTAAACAAGTTTAAGAACCACTAATTTGACCTTAACTCTGTTGAGAAACTTACCAACTATCCTGGCTGCTACATCTGCCTCATTTAGGATCTAAAGCTATTCAGGAAAAATAATTAAAATTGTTTCCTATTTCTATTCACTGATCTGTTGAATCTTACCCAGGTCAGCCTGCCTTACAATTGATGGACTACTTCAACTAACACATGTAAAAATATTTCTATACAGCTTTAAACAACAACTTGTCAAAACTTACTGCACTGGTGTGTGGTGGGGCTAGGTCAAGAAACCAGGTTTATGCAGGATGTTTTGCCTTCCTCCTGAGTGTGTCCTCTTCTTGAACAAACTGTGACCACTGTACCAGGGTAGCACTAAGGTCAACATGAACTGGACACTATTTATTGTTGACTATGATTTTTACTCTTGCTTTTATTTATTTATTTTTTAACGTTTATTTATTTTTGAGACAGAGAGAGACAGAGCATGAACGGGGGAGGGTCAGAGAGAGGGAGACACAGAATCTGAAACAGGCTCCAGGCTCTGAGCTGTCAGCACAGAGCCCGACGCGGGGCTCGAACTCACGGACCGCGAGATCATGACCTGAGCCGAAGTCGGCCGCTCAACCGACTGAGCCACCCAGGCACCCCTACTTTTGCTTTTAATAGTGTATCCTGTTTCCTGAAAGAAATCTTATGCCAAATCCACAAATATATAAATGAATAAAATGTGAGACTGAGGTAGGGGTGGGAATCCTGGGTCTTTTCTCCCATTCTTTCTCTTCCTATTTATTTCCCTTCCTGGTCCTGAAACACCACACAAGAACTTTAAAGCTTCATAGTATTGTTTGAAAGCTATTGTATAATGCATAGTTCCCTCTGGCCTATCATGTTTTTGTAAAAGCCTTGAGAAAACTGATGCTACCATTCAAAATTTTAAGATACTAAAATAGAAGATATTTTCCAATGGCAACATACAGCTGATTGATTTATCGCATCAACCTATTCATAAGCTGAATACTATCTGATTATGGAACAAATCTACTTAAGCAAAAACTAAAATCTTAAAGGCATTTTACTAGCTTGAGTTCAGTGGCTGTACGTTCAGCTATATTTATGAACACAGACTAAAAGTTAACTAAAACATCAGGAGACAGCTGAGGATTTCAAAATAGACATATAAAAACAGGATGTGAACTGAAAACATTAACAGAGTTTTTCTTAGTTTCAGTTTCTCCTATCATTAATTCAAAACTCTAGAAAGTCACACACAAAAAAAAAAACAGTGGGGGGAAGGAGAAATTTCTGTTTTTTCCTCATCATTCTGACAGACCTAGCAAACATCAAAATGGCCAGCAGGCAGGAAAAAAAAAATCCCTCAATTCTCTGCAAATTAATAACTATTTCTTAACGTATGAGAGTTTACTATAGTTCTATACCATTTCAGAAACATCCCACACGCCTCAAAAGAAACTAGCTGGTAACAACTGCCATCCCAGGCGCCTCAAAAGAAACTAGATGGTAATATACCTGTTTGATTTTCACTAATCTCAAAATCCAATGCTTTAACAGGATTTTCCGGTTGACATGCTAAAATGAGATCATCTTCACATTCTACATCTTCCTCTTCAGTTTTCTTCTTGATGTCAGGACCTATGTGGATATGAGACCTTATGAATGAACTTAGAGGACAGTAAGGAATTCCACTTAATAATTGGTTGGTCTTTGTCTAGGAAAATAAACAAAAGATGAGCCTGGAAGAGCTTATGATTCCGGAGAGCGAAGAAATGCTCAAAAAAAAAAAAAAAAAAAAAAAAAAAAAAAAGACAGGTGAGCTAACAAAAAAGAATACAAGAGTCTACCTGAAGGCCAAAGCTGGAAAAACTTGAGCAACAAAATAATGATAGTATAGAATTTTAACCCATGGAGTAAAATAATACACATGAGTTCATACTGACAAAAATAAATAAAAAACAAACAGGGAAAAGAGACATCTCTTCCTCACAAAAGAATTCCAATTCCATGAAGAAGGAAAGAAGGAAATGAGAATCATTATTATGCAAACACCACAGCAATAAATACTGTTGACAAGACAGACTAATAGATATTAAAGTTAAAATTTAAGGAGGAACAGGATATTAGCAGAGGCTCAAAGTATCTCCCTCAAGGTACTTATCAACTACAAAGGGAAAGGCAGTAACTGTGAGGTTAAGTTTATATGTCAACTTGGCTAGTTTAGTCCACATTATCCAGATATTTATTTGATCAAACTCTATTCTAGAGGTTTCTGTAAAGGTATTTCTTAGATGGAATTCACATTGAAATCAGTTAACTTTGAGTAAAGCAGACTGTCCTCCACAATGTGAGAGAGCTACATCTAGTTAAGGTCTTAATAGAAAAGGGACTAGCCTCCCCAGAGGAAGAGGGAATTCTTCGAGCAGACAGCCAGCCTTCAGACTTGAGCTGCAACACTAATTCTTCCCTAGGTCTCCAGCCTGCCAAAGTACCTTGCAGAGGGTGGACTTGCCAGCCTCCACAATCTCATGAGCCAATTCCTTAAACTGATCTCTCTCTCCTTCTCTTCCATACCTCTTCCTCCCTTCTTCTGCATCCATCCCTCTCTTCCCCCTCCTTGTCTTTATAAATACACACGCATACACACACACACACACACACACACACACACACACACACACACACACTCACATCCAATTGGTTCTTTGGAGAGGCTTGATTAATACTATAACTTTACAGTGGAGATACCTGACAGATACCACAAGGATCAAGGTAAACATAACAATAAAGCATACTGATACCATGAGTTCCTTGATATATGCACTGTGAAGGAGACAATATCATTTTTGTGGTATTCTTGCCAAAATGCCTAATCTTGCTCCAATATGAGAAAACAATGGACCGACCCAAACAGAGGGACATTCTACAAAATACAGTACTCTTCAAAAGTGTTAGGTCATAAGAGGTCATAAAGGCCAAGGAAAGACTGAGAAATTATTTACAGACTAGAAGAGAGTAAGGAGAAATAACAGGTCAATGCAATGTAGAATCTTGGACAGCATCCTATAACAGCAGAAAGGATGTCAGTGGAAAAAATCCATGAAATTCGGATCTTTAGTTTGGTTAATATTATACCAATGTTAGTTTCCTATTCTTGGTAATTATACTGTGGTTAAGTAGGATGTTACTAGGGGAAACAGAGTGAGGAATATAAAAGAGTTCATTGTACTATTTTTGCAATTTTTCTGTAAGTCTAAAATTAGTACAGAATTGTAAAATTTTTTTGTGTATATAATTACTTCAAAATTTAGTACTTCTGCAATAGAAAAAACCTATGAAATAAATTTGTACTGAAGATTAACAGTAAAATCAACCTAAATTACTTGTTAAGTGGGTAGAATGGAAAATTCTCATGAGATATCTTGATCACGAGCTTGTAATCTTATTAGTTCTTTAGAATTACAAATCCTTGCATTTTAGTATGAAGTCTACAAAAACAATTTTTGGTAAGAAAAATACCAAACAAAATTTCTAAAAAGTATAACTACAAATTGTAAACAAAAATCAATAACATTACAATTTAAAGAGTGGCTAAACTGTAATGTGGATATAGATGGAAAAGGGAAAATATCTTATTTTTAAGATCTATACTTTTATTTATTTATTTATTTATTTTTTCAACGTTTATTTATTTTTTTGGGACAGAGAGAGACAGAGCATGAACGGGGGAGGGGCAGAGAGAGAGGGAGACACAGAATCGGAAACAGGCTCCAGGCTCTGAGCCATCAGCCCAGAGCCTGACGCGGGGCTCGAACTCACAGACCGCGAGATCGTGACCTGGCTGAAGTCGGACGCTTAACTGACTGCGCCACCCAGGCGCCTCAAGATCTATACTTTTAAAAATCTCCTGAGAATTGAGTGATTCCAAATTTTTTGGAGTCCTAAATTTTTACTGGCATACATTCCATTTTTTGCAATTATCCCACACTCTAGCATGGCAGATCAGCAAAAATCAATTTTATTTTGAGACTACTTTTCCTATCAATGCCCTGAAATGCTACAAAATCAGAACATGAATTATAAAAGTCAGGAAAACAATTCAAAAATGATTGTCACATGGAGAGAATATCTTCATACCATTTATCTCAGATGTTAATGGAAGCAGTAAAATCGTTTATTTTCTACAGAAAAATAGTAAAATGCTCTGAAAAAGTTACCACTACTATCAATTTTAAATATATAATGATTTTGCTAAGTGAGTCCAAAATAATTGGTTCCTTATAAATAATCTTCTAAAAAGTTAGTAAATAAACTATTGCTGGTTTTTTAAAAATCTCTTTACCAGATTGAAAACAATTCTATCAGTGGTAACAATGAAATATTAGAAACACCCACGTTGTCATGAATGATTCAATCAAAGAATAATAAAGACATATTGATTTTCAAATCAATATATGTCTTTGATATGAAATTAGATAGTAGCGACAGGTGTACAATTTTGGAATATACCAAAACCACTGTATTACACATTTTTAGAGGATAAATAATTATGGTATGTGAACTACATCTCAATTTAAAAATCAATTTTCAAAGTAAATTTTTATATCCTAAATATCAGTTGGTGTGTTTTCCAGAGTTCTTTTTCTATAAACACTTTACTCATTTGAAGCTAATGTCTAACTTGTGTACTCCAGTAATTCATGAGGAATGTTACATGGTTCATATTACCTTAATAGTCAAAGAAAGCAGAAATTTTAGACCCACGTTCTTTAACCCAAGTTCTGTAAGAGTATAATATGAAACCAAAGAGGCTAAAATCACATAGAAATAACCATAACTACATGAGCAAATGAACTAGTCCAAAGAAACTTGTATTTTATCACACATGAACCATAAAACAGAATACAGATTTTTTATTAAAAATTTCATTTAGAATATTTACATGGAAATTTAATTATGATTAAGTTAAAAGAGCATTAATAATATTAATAATATTCTTCTGGTATTTACCTGGTTCTGTCATCTGAGATTTCTGTATTAGAACATCTCTTATTTTCTCTACCCATAGGTAAAGAATACTTTCACCAATATTCTGTCTAAACAAAATTGAAGAGAAAACTTGGTTATTAAAAAAAATTCTTTCTCAAATTCAAGAAAATATGAACATATTTACAATCTAAGAAATTATATGCAATCTAGCTATGCCTTTTACAAAAGAATTTATAATAACATGAGATTTCCTAACATCTGTTAGCTAAGTATTGAATACAGATGTTCATATCAGTATTAACAATTTCAACAGGCTCCAAATTAACATTGCTTACTTAAAATACGAGAAAAGCTGCAACCAAAGAGGGTAAAGAAAACTTCTGAACTTGAACTAGATGAAGTAGATAGATGTAAAGGGGATTCAGTTCCTGTTAGCAGATATAGTTTCAGTACTGATGTCACAGCTTGCTTTTTTTTTTAAGCTTTTTGAACAATTTCAAACCGCTTATTTGGCACACTTGTTTGGTATAATTATTTCAGCAAAGAAGAATGCAAAGCATCAGAGGAACTCCCTCAGAGACCAAATTTAAAAGACTTAAAAGACAATTCAGGTAACAACTTTACAATCGCATTTTTTGACAAAATATTCTGTTGCCCAAACTGACTCATTTTGGTTCCAAATAATGTCTGACTGATTCAGATAAATTAAATACAACTCAAAGGTCACTGAGAAAAAGAACATGGCATGGTTCATGTCCATAGAGTTATGTCAAATGATGACAACAGCAATAAAATAAAGGTCCCGGTGTCTACTCTTTAGGGAATGACACCAACTTTAGATAAATGTCCGTTACGTGTACTTAAAGTAATCCCCGTATTACTTGATAACAACACCTTACCTCCTTCCTCTGAAAGTCCCCCTTGAAACCACTATCTCTCTTCATCACTACTCATCAGTACCCACCAAAGGAAACTTTCAAAACAAGCAGAGAGAAGAAAATATTGTTTTCAAATAATTCTGTACCCTCAAATCTTCCCCATCTCACCCATAACTCCTTAGCACTAAACATTCCTCCCTGTGCTCTGGTAACTGGTGTCTATGATTCTAAGAGAGAGGAAAAGTCAACTGGGAAGGCTTTAAAATTTGGGGAATGTGGTTTGAATTTCTTTTAAACAATTCCCACTTCTATCCTCTCTTCTCAATAAATGATTCAGAGGTATAGACGCAGAAAGGTACGATGGATTGAGTATATACAAAGCCCAAAGTTCATTATATGTGTCAACACATTAAATGCTCACAATTATTTAATGAAGTATTATTTCCCCATTGTACAAGTGAGAAAACAGACCTAGAGAAAACAGACTTGTCTAAAACAGTCTTAGAAACAGTGAAGAACCCCAGAGACAGAATGTGAATGCAGACTGACTCCAAAACTCAGCTTGCTCACTGCATTTTGCTCTCCTATCAAGCAGCTATGATCCTAGGCAAGTAAGCCACTTGAACTCTGAGTCTGTTTCTTCATCTATAAAACAGAGACTTAGAGCATGTTATCTTACTTTACAGAAGCAGTTTCTCTTCAAGTGAACCTATCTTAATTCACTCAACATAACTACACCATGTCTACATGCTGGCCTGGGGAGATGGTAGTCAATGAGAAAACTGGGTCCCTTATATCAGTGTTTGTGATCCTTACAAATTTATGTTTTTGTATATAATTCTCTCCATCTCCTAATCTCATTCTATTGAATTCTTCACATCACCAAAAATAGTAATACCAGTATCTAGTGTTTAATGAACACCTACTATACAGAAGACATGTAGAAAACACTTTGTTACTTCACTAAATCCTTAAGCCACCTTCGAGGCAGGAAAATCATCCTGTGTATGAATCATACATTCACATTCAGATTTGTTGTTGGAGTGTTGTGAAAACACCTTGGAAGAATTTTCATGATTAATAAATAATTTTTCCAAATAATAAAGACAAAATTAAACCTTAACTCCAGATCTCCTCTCCTCCGGCCCACGGCTTCTTGCAGAAAAACGTACAACAGCACTTCTGCCCAACATCAGTTACCGAATGCTTCCTTTTTCCCTTGTATTTAACAAAACTTACTGAAATCCAACGTATGGAAGTTGTAGTGGGTGTTTACAATTTCCTAAGTAAAATGACAGTTACTCTTTCCCTTGTTCTATCACTAATGGTGTTTTGTTTGTTTGTTGTTGTTGTTGTTGTTATTGCCGCATTTGTGTTTTCTCTTGTAAGAAGAAACTGTGTTTTCTCCTTGGTCCAAGATTTTAACTATCCACTAGGATTTGGTGGTTTTCAAACTCCTTCCTGTGTCTATCTGCCTTGCACGCCACCCACAACTGGTCCTGGAGGAAGTCTACGGAATCCTAAGGACTCTGATACAAAATTTTAAAAAACTACTTATTATAGGGTGAGATGCTAAGCTTTTATTTATTAAATTAAATTATGGTAAAGTAGCTAAATAGAAAATGTCTAGAACAATATTTGTTTCAAATTGAATAAAAGACAAACTTGGACTAAAAGCTGGATTTTGTGAATAGCTATATTTAAATGACTATTAGCCCATCCAGAATGATCAAAACAAAGTCATGTTACTTGTGGCTCTGTTGTATCTTTAATTTTCTAATATTTATATTTGTTGATTTATGGACAAAGCCACTTGCTAAAATACACTACTAAGTTGTGTGACCTCAGATAAATCACACAATCTGAGTTTCTATTATCCCATTTTCAAAATGACAAAATTGGATGAGATGATTCTTTTAATAACAATAAAATTAAGGGTGGCTATCATATGCTTCTAAAGCACATTACACAGATTATGTCATTTAATCCTCACAACAGTAGTATTCTATTATCCTTATTTTACAGATGAGAAAACAGATTCAAAGAGGCCACATTATTTCCAAAACTGTTTCTAGAAGCCTGGCCAAGACAGCCTTAATGCCAGCTTAGCTAAACTTGAGACTGGCAGAACTTCCTAACTATAGGCCCTGACCTCCCTTTTCTTAGTGCATTTTTGTTAGAAAAGTTGACATTATAAATTCTTTCTCTACTCCTTTGGGAGTATCCCAAAGGATTTAGGGAGAATCCTGTCAGTTTTATAGCCTAAGAGTGTCTTTCTCAAGGACCTGGCAGCCATCATTTTGAACTGTAATCATTAAGGAAGACAGCATCCCTTCTCCTGTCTTTATGGGAGGGGAGGAGCCTAACTTATGATGAGCAACAATTAGCAAACACAGATGGCCTAATCATGAGAAACACATTTGCAAACTCAGGAAATAACTTACTGGGCTTACACAGCTCACTGATTAACCTTCCCTCAAATCCTTATCCCAGCCCTTACAAATTCTGTTGATAGGAATGCAAACTAGTGTACCCACTATGAAAAACAGTAGGCAGGTTCCTCAAAAAATTAAAAGTAGAACTACCCTACAATCCAGGAATCACACTACTGTGCATTTACTCAAAGAATACAAAAACACTAATTTGAAAGGATACATGCACCCCTATGTTTACTGCAGAATTATTTACAACAGCCAAACTAAGAAAGCAACACAAGTGTCCATCAATAGATGAAGGGATAAAGGAAATATGGTGTGTATGTATGTGTATACATACACATACATACAAACAATGGAATATTATTCAGCCATAGAAAAGGATGAAAACTTGCCATCTGCAACAAATGGATGGATCTAGGTAGCATAATGCTAAGCAAAATAAGTCAGAGCAGAGAGAAACAAATACCATATGATTCTACTCATGTGGAATTAAAGAAACAAACAAAGGAAGAGAAATAAAAAAAAAAAACCAGACTCTTAACTTTAGAGAACAAACAGATGGTTACCATAGGGGAGGTGGGGGGTGGGGGTGTGGGATGGGGTAAATTAAGTGAAGGGGATTAAGAACAGATTTATCTTGATGAGCACTGGGTAATATATGGAACTGCTGAATCACTGTATTGTACATCTGAAACTAATATAACATTGCATGTTAACTACACTGGAATGAAAATTTTAAAAATTCTCCTGGCAAGAAAAACAAAAGCAAAAATAAACTACTGGGACTACATAAAATCAAAAGACTTCTACACATCAAAAGAAACAAATCAATAAAATTAAAGGTAATCTATGGAATGGGAGAAGATATTTGCAAATGACACATACAATAAAGGGTTAGTATCCAAAATATGTAAAGAACTTATAAAACTCAACACCCAAAAAACAAATAATCCAATTAAAAAATGGGCAAAACACATAGATATTTCTCCAGAGTAGATACCCAGATGGCGAATAGACACAGGTAAAGATGCTCTTCATCTCTTACCATCAGGGAAATGCAAATCAAAAGTACAATCAGATATTACCTCACGCCTGTCAGAATGGCTAAAATCAACATGAGAAACAATAGGTGTTAGGGAGGATGTAGAGAAAAAAAGAACCCTTGTGCACTGCTGGTGGGAATGCAAACTGGTACAGCCACTGTGGAAAACAGTATGGAGGTTCCTCAAAAAGTTAAAAATAGAACTATCCTATAATCCAGCAATCGAATTACTAGGTAGTTACCCAAAAAGTACAGAAACACTAATTCAAAGCAATATATGCACCCCTATGTTTATAGCAGCATTATTTACCATAGCCAGGATATGGAAGAAACCCAAGTGTCCATCCACTGATGAATGGATAAATAAGATGTGACATATATAAATATAAATATGTATAATGGAATATTACACAGCCATAGAAAAAGGATTGAAATATTATGCTAAGTGAAATAAGTCAGAGAAAGACAAATACCATATGATTTCACCCAAATGTGGAATTTAAACAAAACAAAAAGCAAAGGAGACAAAAAAAAAAAAAAGAGAGAGAGAGAAATCAAGAAAGAGACTCTTAACTATAGAGAATAAGCAGATGATTACCAGAGGGGAGGTAGGTAGGGAGATGGGTGAAATAGGTGATGGGGATTAAGGAGGGCACTTGTCATGATGAGCACCAGCAATGTACGGAATTATGGTATCTTATATACATGAAACTAATAACACTGTATGTTAACTCATTGGAATTAAAAACACAAAAAATTCTGCCTTTTGTTTCTGGAAGTTGAGGTCAGACTGAGCTCTGGCCTCTCTCCCCTACTGCAATAGTCTTGAACAATGTTTTCCTCACTCTTTTAGCTTTGTGGCAATTTGTGCTTTGATAAGCCTCGCCTTGTCTACGGCCATACCACCCTGAACACACCTGATCTCATCTGATAAGCCTCTCCTCCCTACTTTCAAATCTAAGACTCCATGATAAATCAAAATGTGAGGGGCTGTGGGAAATTAAAATCATCATCTTGGATTTTAAATTAAATATTGTTAAAATGAACCATTGTAAATTTAAATACAGATATTCCCCCATTTTCCAAAAGTTTGTGTTATGCCACTGCACTTTTATAAAAGATCTATATTAGCTATTTTCACTAACCAAAAGAAACCTGAAGAGGATTTTCACTTTTACGAGAACTGCCATTACTGTACCAAATGTAGGTCTTTCATAAAGTGAAGCAGTGTAACTTGAACATTCAGAAAGTTGGGGATATTCTTTCTTTATGCCATTTTGAGGGGTTTAATAGGAATGCTCCACTTTTAGATGGTGGGGAAAAACCTGTACTACAAAAAAAAAAAAAAAATGTTAATCCCTTTCCTTAAGGGATTACTCTTAAACAACATTTATTATTATATTCCAGGTATTTTTAAATCCATCATTCACCTTTTGCTTGATTAAAATAATTATTTTCACAGATTTAAAATACTCATATGCAAAATATTTCATCAAAAGTAAGGTATGATAAGCAAATTAATCTACAAGTAACTAATCACCAAATCCTAGTCGATATTCTTTTTTTTAAAGAGTTTATTTATTTATTTTGAAAGGGAGAGGGAGGGAGGGAGGGAGGGAGATGGGGGAGAGAGAGAGAGGGAAGGAGGGAGAGAAGGGAGGGAGAGAGGGGGAGGGGGAGAGAGAGACAGTACCCCAAGTAGCCTCCATGCTGCCAGTACAGAGCCCAACATGGGGCTCAAACTCTTGAACTGTGACATAACGACCTGAGCCAAAACCAAGGGTTGGTTGGTTAACCGACTGAGCCACCCAGGTGCCCCAGTCTATATTCTTAAGTATTTCTTTAACTGATCATTCTTCTCCATCCAATCTTGTTGCCTTCCTAAAAAGGCTTCCACCATCTCCCTCCTCCTCAAACTCTTCACAGCCCATCTCTCACACTGCAATACAAATCTGATTACATCACTACTCTGTGTAGAACACTTAGAGCCTACAACATAATGCCCACACTTCTTTCCCAACTTAGGACTTCTTTATTCTTATCCTTACCTAATTTATATACCTGGCATCTTAAACTATTTGCTAAATTTTGAAGATGCCAGGTTGCTTCACACCTACATGATTTTGCTCATGCAGTCCCTTCTACCAGAAAACCTCTCCCCACTTGATTACCTGGCAAACACCATGCTCCAAGGTCTCCTTCACAATGGAACCCTTCTTTACAACTCTATCCACATGCCCAGAGATAGTCTGTTGCTAAAACCTCTTAAAAAAATGCTAGTACAGCACTTGGTCCAAACCTCTCAGTAATTACATCATTATATCATACTGGTACACATTTATCTTCATTTTTAAATTCCAAACTCCTAACAAAGTACCAGCATATAGGAGATACTCAATACATTCTTACGGGAAAAACTGTTAGTTTTCTGACTTCTGCTTTCCTACCTACGAGGAAACAAACCATGGCTCATCCTCTTGTCTAGGCAAAAATCACATTTTACATACAAAATGATGTTAATGTAAAAATCTTCATAGTGATATAATATTTAGAATATAATGAAACTATAAATATTAAAACTATATTCATACATTTACTAATTTTCAAAACTAATAATATTTTTCAATTTGCTGCCCCCTGCTGGATTTATGGAAAAATATTAAAGGCTGTCACAAAACTTTTTAAGAGTGTTTTAAAGAGTGCTCTTTTAAAAAAAATTTTTTTTAACGTTTATTTATTTTTGAGACAGAGAGAGACAGAGCATGAACGGGGGAGGGTCAGAGAGAGGGAGACACAGAATCTGAAACAGGCTCCAGGCTCTGAGCCATCAGCACAGAGCCCGATGCGGGGCTTGAACACACGGACCGCGAGATCATGACCTGAGCCGAAGTCGGCTGCTCAACCCACCGCTCAACCGACTGAGCCACCCAGGCGCCCCAAGAGTGCTCTTTTTAAAAGAGTGTTTATTTTTACTCACACCACCTGTGTGAAAACAATACCATTGGACTAGGATTATTCAAGCCCTTTTTAATAAGCAAGACAGTATAAACCACAATTCTATCTTTAGAACAAACTGCTTTATAATCTCTGACCTTTCCTATTTCCCAAATAGCTCAACTGAACCAGTTAGGGAGAACACCAAATTGTGTCCTATGGGAAGGGATCTATCTCTTAGTAAAAGAGGGGCTTTTGGATAGAAAAAAGGCAAATGGGAAGCCATTTCTGAGTACATGACATACTAATGACAAACATTAGTATGATAGAATCCAAATATGGGAAGGTTTTCAAGAAAGAGGTATTTCAACATCAGCATAAGTTACAGATGTCACGTAAGATAAGAACTAAAAAAATGACCACAAGATGTATAATTACAACATCACTGGTGAACAAATTTGCAGTATATTTATTCTACTCTAAGGGAGAAGATAAAATGGTAAATAAACATAAATAAAAGATTACAGAAACAAGTTTCTTGTGGGTGTAAAGTTGGAATGACCAGTAAGGTTAGAGAAAGTTATCAGAAAACATTTAATTGAGGAAATAAATAATACTTATATGCTGAGGAATACCTAAATGGGGTCATCCTTTATTGATACATCCAGTTCTTGGTTACTTCCAGGGTCAAGTGTAAACCTGGGACTCAAGGAAGACCATACTTCTCCAGGAAGGAATGAACAGAAGCAATTCCATAAAGACTTACCACATTTTAATTAAATATTTTAGGAGGAAAAGGAACCTGGCCGAGATCCCAGGGATACACTGTACCAAAAAGGGTGGCCACCTAGAACATATAAGACAATCCTTACCAGTTTCTGGATTACAGTAAAACTGATTCTAAAACATTGTTTATTTTACTAAATTAACATCTTACTAAAATTAATCCAAATCACAGTCATCTTCCCTGGACTACTGCATTAGCCTCCTAACGTATCTATTCTTGCTCCCTTCCAATCAGCTCTCCACACAGAAACAGACTGGTGTTTTCAAAGTCAGAATCTTATCAATGACATCACACCATTGAAAACCTCTGCTTTCCACGGGTCTTAACAACAAAGACAACAATCCTTCACATGGCCTCCAAGACTGTGCATGACCTCCCCTGCCTACCTCACCAGGTCACTGTCCCAGCATCCTCCCTCCTCTCCCCTCCCCTCTCTTCCCCCTTCATACCACCAACTTTATGTCTTGACAAGCTCCTTGACACAGAGCCTTTGCACATGTTGTGCCATTCGCTAGTTATCTTCACTTCAGTAATTCAGCTCTGAAGTCAAGCCATCCTTGACTAGGTTATATCTTGTTTCAAATTCATTTAGTACTGCACATTAATATCTTTCTTTTACAGAACTTATCAGAGCTGCAGTTTTACCTTCACTTTACAATGTCATGAGTGACATCTCTATCAGTAAGTTCTAAATGCCATGAAAAAAGACCATTTTTGTTTTTACTATGTGTACCTATGACCTAGTACAGTGCCTATCTTGTAGTATTTCTTAAATGAATGAAACAGTGAAGAATACAGTGTCAATAGACTCTCAGTTTTATGACCTAATACAAGATTCTGCTGTAACCAGTTTCATTCAACATAGCCTGTGAAAGTATTAAAACAAGAACTGTATCTTTGGGTTTACTTTCACAATCTGGTATTTTTACAGCTATTAGCTCTGAATCGTTACTGTTTTTTGTTTTTGTTTTATCTAAGTAGAAATCATATCAAGTGTATATATAAAATTATATGACCAGTCTTTCAAAGACTCTTCAAATGCATCCTTTAGGTTAAGGGAAAGGCAGCTTAACAAAAACTTTAGAAAATGCCTTAACATATCAGTTGCAACAAAAGCCCACAATAAAATCACAAGTAGAATTTTTTTTTAAATCATTTGCTACTTACATATATATTTCCTCAAGGCTATTTGATAAATCTGCACGTTCTTGTCCTTTAAGCCAAGGAGCACTAAGATTAAATAAAACACAATGAAGAAGACTATTCAAGGACTGTGTTTATAATTCAAACAGAAATTACTGATTAAATTACAAATTATTTGATAACTTTTAAAAATTACCTACTTTCATTAAAATGTTATATTGTACAAATCTATACAGCTCCAAAATGCTTTCATTGGCATTAACTTATTGTGTCCTCCCAGGAAACCTTGATGAAGGCAATCCCAATATTATTCAATTAAAATATGGTTTAAAAAACAGAGGTGAGTTCATAGGATATCATGAACCTGTCCGGGTTTACGTAAATGGCAGAACAAGTTCGAGAATCCAAATTTCCAGATTCACAGTATCTGCGACACTGTTAGGAATTGCCAATTTTTTTTTTCTAAATAGTGTCTCAAAAACAACTTTAACAAATAGAGTGGTTGCCACGTGACTGCAAAAATATATATCAACTTTTCCTGAAAAGGGCATTTATGTTTATAGGCATTCTAAAATTATATCTCTCATTTTCAATAAAAATTAACAGAACCATTATTATTATCAAATTTTATTTCTGTTTTAAAACACATACAAAAAATTATCCCACTGGTAGGTAAAAATTTTAATAATGACAATTTAATGGAATTCTCTTCACACAAGTTTATACATCTTAGGAGGTCAAGTGGACAAAGCTGATCAAAGATCATTTGCAATCAACAGGTCATGACTAAGATTAAGCTTAGGCTGCTAAGAAGATGGTTCCTCCACAACAAGGGGCAGGGAGAAGCACCAGAAGCACCGAGCATGGGTAATTCCCAGAGGGCAAGCAGTCTTAGGCAGAGGCATGCCAAGGAACTATGGCTAGGTCAGCAGAACCAGATTAGGAGAAACTAAACCACCAGTTTGTCTAAAGAGAAAGATTTCTCTCTCTCTCTCTTTCTAAATACAATTCAGTAGCTATTTTATCCCTATGAACGCTGTGATTCTTTTATACTAAATGCGTTCTGCAATGTGTTTTTTATATAATTTAAATTTTTTTATTTAAATGCTCTATACAAAGTCCAAAAGGTGTTCTTTTCAAGTACTTTTTTATTTTTTTAAAAATGTTTATGTCGGGGCACCTGGGTGGCGCAGTCGGTTAAGCGTCCGACTTCAGCCAGGTCACGATCTCGCGGTCCGTGAGTTCGAGCCCCGCGTCGGGCTCTGGGCTGATGGCTCAGAGCCTGGAGCCTGTTTCCGATTCTGTGTCTCCCTCTCTCTCTGCCCCTCCCCCGTTCATGCTCTGTCTCTCTCTGTCCCAAAAATAAATAAACGTTGAAAAAAAAAATTAAAAAAAAAATGTTTATGTATTTTTATTTTTGAGAGAGAGACAGTGTGAGCAGGGGAGGGGCAGAGGAAGAGAGAGAAAGACAACACATACAGAATCTGAGCTGTTAGCACAGAGCCTGACATGGCCCTCAAACCCACGAACCATGAGATCATGACCTGAGCCGAAGTCGGATGCTTAACCAACTGAGCCACCCAGACACCCCCAAATAAACTTTTAAAACAGAGGTGCCTGGATGGCTCAGTTGGTTAAGCAACAGACTTTGGCTCAGGTCAGAATCTCAAGGCTTGTGGGTTTGAGCCCCACATCCGGCTCTGTGCTGACAGCTCAGGGCCAGGAGCCTGCTTCAGATTCTGTGTCTCCCTTTCTCTCTGCCCCTCCCTTGCTCACACTGTCTCTCTCTCTCAAAAATGAATAAACATTACCAAAAAGAAAGTTTCTTCATTGTGAGAGAGAGAGCATGCAAACATGAGCAGGGGGAGTGGGAGAGGGAGAGAGGGAGAGACTCATAAGCAGGCTCTGTGCTGCCAGCACAGAGCCCAACATGATGCTTGAGCCCACGAACTGTGGGATCATGACCAGAGCCGAAATCAAGAGTCAGAGGCTTAACCAACTGAACCACCCAGGTGCCCCCAAAAGGTGTTCTTAACTTCCATATGTATTTTCCTAAGAAAAGTATTTTATATAAACACAAAGCACAATATAGAGAAATAATCTTTAAAAAGTATAATCTTTTTGTAAGAATATAAACATAGAAATATAGCTTACTTCAGTTGATAAATAGGTGGAGCTGTACCTGGGTATTCATTTGGTAGCATCACCTGTAAAGCAGTTTAAAAATAAATCTGTTTATACTTCATCATGACTCAAAATTAACAATATTTATAAAGCTAGTCACTGGACAAATTTCCTACTTGCCAAACTAAAATCAAAACAGTTATTTTGTTCAATCTCAGGAGAGAAATGCCTCCTCATATTTATACTTAAAGTATGTTGTTAATGATAATGCCAATTTTTAAGGAGCACATTATTTACAGAGAAGGTATACAAGCAATGAAAGTTAGGAAATAAGAGTGGGGAAGACAAAGATGAAAGGAAAACTGAAATAGGGGCATTAAACCCTAACCTCAAGTGAAAAGGGTGGCACTATAGCATGTTCCAGGTATTTTTCTGAAGAAATATTAAAAAAAGAATCCTATTAAATACTGGTAAACACATTAAATAACTAACCCTTGACAGAGACCCATACACCTTTGTTCCCAGATCAGTGTTGTTATAAAAACAAACACTGACAAAAACCTTTATGTTGAAAATACAGGCAGTCACCAAAGAATAAGCATTAATACAGAAAGCTATACTGATCTTGTCATTTTTTTATCTTAACCACACTGATTCTCAGTTAATAAAGAAACAAGTATCTGTTTTATAAAGCCTTTTAAATTACTAACCTATTCTTCCTCTTAAAGGTTAGCCATCCTTCCAGGTTTAAACCCTCTCCTATTAAATGGACAGAACAATGAAAGGAAGTGAAACTCAAGTCTGTCAAAGGTATATTAAGAATATCTAATTAAAATAACTGGGATAGGAAAGATTGAGACTATCAGTTAAAGCATGTCTTGAGTGATCAGAGATTTCATTACCATGGTGCTTAGATACTCAATTGTTAACAAAAGCTAACAAGAAAACAGACAATTCAGAAGTCACACAACAGTCATTTAGAGGAATACAGTATTAGTCAATCATACAGTCCCTGCTGTAACTGGAAAATGGCTATAGAGAAGGAGGGAAAAATACCTGCAAGCAAAGTGTCCACTTGGGGTCATCTATATCGTCGCTAATTCTAATACAAAATATTTTGGCACAGTCATCAATGACACACCATTCCTCGCCATAGATAGCTGCCATTGCTTCAATTTCCTCATTCTGTAAGAAGTTGATGGGAGGAAAAAAAGTCAACGAATGTACATGCCCTAAAAGCCTGAATTTTCCTTCCTCTTATAAAGTATTTTTATTTAACATTACTAGCCTTTATAAAGGATCCCTGAAGGAACACTGCCAAAAGGTCTTAGCAGCAGGTCACCATGTTCTACTCTGTAAGTGGTTGCCAGACAAGGACTAGGACCAGCCTTGCTGCAACATCACTGGGTTTTTGGCCACTAGTGAGCCAAGATATATACAATACCCTACAGCATGATTTACAAGTGGGAAGATGAACACACATCCTCTGCTTCACCTTTTCTTAGGTACCACGTAATCCTCACTCCCACTCCCCAGTATCCTTGCTATATACTAGCCATATATTCCTACTTAATATATCCATTGTTTCTTTTGGATTTAGGCACAGGTATGGGTGGTTGTTTCATTGTTTTTTTTGGTAATCGTATCCTAAAAACATTTCGGAAATTATTCTTTGGTTTGGGGTTAAAAAAGAAAAATAACAGGATCTAAAGGTGAAAAGGGGAAGCAAAGTATGCAACCTTGTATGCATCTCATTTTGGCCTCACAGCCCAGATGGAAAAGCTTTTAAGAGTACCCACGTGAGCCACGCACTAGGGAAAGCTCACTATCAAGAGGAGTAAGATCCAGCGGGCCCTCAAGGAACTCCAGGGTTTGTGTTATTATTGCCCATTTTGCAAAGGCAGAAACTGGAGATAAGTGGCTTGTCCAAGGTGACCCGGCGACAGGGAAGAAAGCAGAACCCGGATTTCTGTCGCCGGGCCGGAGCTGCTCCGTCGCGTGCTGATGGTTGACGACGACACCGTCGGAGGCAGGCCGAGCCCGCCGACGCCCGGGAGCGGCTGGCCGGAGGGCGATCGGCGGAGAACGGGCGCCAAGAGAATGGAACGCGGTGCAGCAAACGGCGCGCCTGGAGGCCCGGACGGTGCCGGCGGGAATGGGGGCGGCCCCGGGCAGAGGGCCTCTCGGCGGAGGAGGCCCGGGACGGCGAGGCGAGGCCGAGCCGAGCCTGGAGGTCGGCGCCCCGGCGGGCCCTCACCTGCCTCTGGTCGCTCCCTGCGTCCCCCTCAGCCATGTGGCCCCGGGAGCAGCCAGGCGGCCGCCGCCGGCCCAGGTCCGTAGTGCGGGGGCGGGGCGCTGCGGCGGCGAGCGGAGTACCGGCTGCAGCGAGGCCGACCCGGAACCGCAACCCGGGGCGCGCCGCGCAGCCCGCATCTGCTTCCGGGTTGTGGGCCAGGTGATGTGAGGGCCTCTCCGCACCCGAGGTTCCTCTCCCTGGCCCTGTGCCCGCCTTCTTTCTGCCCCTTAGCGGCGCCCGGGGAAGCCGGCCCGCTAGAGAAACGGCTGGAGGGCTTCTGGGCTCCGTGTCCTGGAAACGCCGGGGCTGGGGGCTTCAGGTCGCCCACTGCGGCCGCGGTATACCCCGGAGTCCCCGGGAAACGTTGGGGCGTCGGGCTTACCGCCACAGCCCAGGGAGGAATTCGACCGCAGTCTACAGCCCAGACTCGTCTTTGCATTTCCAGGCAGGGGTTGTTTTGTTTTGTTTTGTTTTGTTTTCTGGATTTTTAAAAACGTGTTTTAAGGTATTTTGTTTAATCTGGGCAAGGATGTGTTTGATTTTCCAAAAACAAGCGAGGAGAGAGCAGGCGGCATTTCGAAAGCGTGCAGGAAAACTTACCACCCAACTGTTGTATTGTGATAGCTTTTTGGGGTTTTGTTGGTTGGTTGGTTGGTTGTTTTGGCGTTCTTGGACATTTTGCCTAAAAGCTCCTTTTGTACAAGACACTAGTTATGCCAGCCAACGTAATGGTCATTGTTTCATTACCCAAAACATTTGCATCAATTTGCTTCAGTTAGTCTCCACTCCACCCCACCCCTCCAACACCTACTTTGCAATACATTGGTTGTGAATTATATGGCTATCGTAATCAAGGCACATAATATCTTATTCAACTGGGATTTTGTCCCTCTTCATTCTTCACACGCACAGACAAAACCTCAAAATATGACATCCTCTCTTTTGTCTTAATTATGGGCGTGTTTTAATTACCCCATAAAACTTATCTAAGAGTGCACCACTGAAGTACTTGTAAAGAAGTCTGCTTAAATTACTTTGAGAGGATCTTACTGAGCCTTGTGGATTTATTAATTCAGATATTTATTAGGCTCTTGTGCTAAGCTTTACAGATGCATTTTCAGACATAATGCATTGCCTTTAAGGAGCTAAGAGGGGGAGAAACAAAAGTAATTAAGATTAAAATGGACTAGAATTGTGTCCTGTTGTGTTAGTAGCACCAAAAAAGGCTGTCCAACCAATGTGTTTTTTAAGAGAGAGACAGCTCAAGTGCGGGGGGGGGGGAGGAAGGGGTTGTTGGGAATCGGAGGGGGGAGAGGTGGGGCACCCAGGGCAGACTGGACTCTGTTTTGTCGTAATTGTTGGGACTTGGAACCCACAAACTGCGAGACCATGACCTGAGTCAAAGTGGGAGACTTAACCAACTGAGTCACCCAGATATCCCCGCCCATCCAAATTTTACTGGGCTTCTTGTTCCAGAGAATGCTTGCATTGACTTATAGAAGAACAGGTAGAGGTTAGCTAATTGAAGAAGAGAGGGTAGTTGTTTCAGATGGTGAGAAAAATACTGGCAGAAAAATTGTGGCCCGTGTAAGAAATTTCATGCAGTTCATTGCCTCTGACATCATAGCTGTTAACCTCCTCTTGTCACATGGCTTGCATGTGGCTTTCTGATTGTCTCCATAAGTTTGCAGCTGTGCATTCATTTTGGTTCCAAGAGAGTGCTTGGAGGGCTTTAGCCCTCAGTAATGTTGATCACATTTCCTCCCTCTATTTGGTTTGGACAGTGTGTTTTTCTTCATCTTGAGCTAAAACAGTTTCTAGCTCCTCCTTCCAACCAAGTTGGGCCCCAAAGTCCATGGTACTGCCAGTTTATCATGGTATTTCTCTACTAGGCAAGGAATTTGCCTGAAGTGCTATGGGGTTTGGCCACCATGCATCTCCAGGTTGCTTGAAACTTTCTGCAGTTAGCATCCTAATACTACCTAGATGTCCATCTATTGTTAAACAGCTTTCTTCCTTCACTCTGAACTCTTCCTTCATTGATCTCTTCACATTTCTTACAGCTTCTATTGCATAAAATAGTGATTTTCACAGTTAAAAAAAAAAGCCATGGGGTGGGGGCTGGGTGGCTCAGTTGGTAAGTCAAGCATCTGGCTGTTGATTTTGACTTAGGTCATGATCTCACAGTTTGTGAGTTTGAGCCCCACATCAGGCTCCATGCTGATAACAGAGCCTGCTTGGGATTCTCTCTCTACTGCTCTCCCCTTCTCGTGTTCTCTCTCTCTCAAAATAAATAAATTAAAAAAAAAAAAAAAAACATAGAATCCTTCCTTCAATGAAAGCTTATGTAAAACAGATTAGATCGTTCTGGCTGAAATAGTGGTGATGGGCCTGAAGTCCAAATTACCAACAACCTTCCCTCCCCCCCCACAGAGGCCCCTCAAAGACTTTAAGCCCAAATTTGAAAACTACCGTGTTAAAATATAACAAAACAATGCACAGCACAACTTAACAGTCTAAACAAAGCACACTGTATGCAGTTTATTTTACATAACACCTCTTTTCTTACCATATATCACAGAAGCCCAGTTTATTTTACCTTCTACAGATTACACCCATGATTTTCTATTACAGTTGACACTTGCACAACATGGGTTTGAACTGCAGGGGTCCACTTACATGTGGACTTTTTTGGACAAATACAATACAATACTGTAAATGTTTTTTTCATGATTTTCTTAATATTTTCTGTAGCTTATTTCACTGTAAGACTACAGTATGTAATGCATTTACGAAATATGTTATTGACTTTATGTTATCGGTAAGACTTCCTGTCAACAGTAGGCTATTAGGAGTTAAGTTTTTGGGAAGTCAAGTTACGTGTGGATTTTTTACTGCACAGGGGTTTGGCATCCCTAACCCCCACATTGTGTAAGGTCAGCCGTAATTCCTATTTCTTCTTAGCTAGAGCCTTTAATTTTTCTTTTGAGCTCAGATTCTGAACAGAAATGATTCTTTGCTAAAAGGAACAAAACAAAACCCTCTCTAATGCACTGAATGCTTATGTGTCAGATACAGAGAACCCCAAACTTAGACATGCAAAGAGCACTTTGGAAGAGAAGGAAAGAAATAGTTACTGAAGTAACAAGTGTAGCAAACAACCAACCTGTTTTGTAAAACACCTTGGGAAAAAAAGCAAAACTTTATTGACAACTTAGTTGAAAAGATTTTACCTAACATGAACTTTGAGCAGTTGCCTAAGCAGAGACTGAGAATGGTTTGCAGACAGTAACATAGATTTGGATCCAAGAGGGGTCTCTAAGCCAGATTCTTCTGATTTCCATATCAGTTTACCCAAAATGTTGGTTACTGGATGTCTTCTTCAAACTCAGTATGTTCAAAACCAAACTCAGTTATCTTTCTCCCTAAACCTCTTGTCATCCTCCTGTCTTCCCCAGTTCAGGAATTGGCAACCGCTGCATCTCTGGGTCGATAATTAATTGCCCAAGCATGAGCCCTGGGAGACATGCTGCACCCCTGTCTTTCACTGCTTTCACACCCAAACAGCAAGTTTGATGATTTGGATTCCTGTATCCCTTATGTTCCTCATATCCTCCTCCCTTTTCTTTTGGATTCCATCTGGACGCTGTTCAAGTTATCCTCCTCACATCTGCCAGAGTAATCATTCACAATGTTAGAGTCTGATCATGTCTTTTTTCTTCCTTGAAATCCTTCACTTGCTGCCCATAGCTTTTGTGATGATGCTTCAGCACCTTAACGCACAAGGAATGTTCATGGTGACCTCTCTATGTCCCACTTTTCTAGTGAGACCAAACTAACTTACTTAAGCTTCCTTTGATGAAAGAATTACATGGCTTAAAAAAAAAAAGTATGAAAACTGCTCTCTAACACAGTAAACACTGAATAGAATTAAGATATACAAAGAGGCCAGGGACCAGAGTGAAGGAAGAGAGCAGATGTGTTTAACAATATGTGTCTGGCTGCTTGCTGTTAGTGTGATAACTGCAGAAGGCTTCAGGTGACCTAGTGGAGACACAGGTGGCCAGATTCCATGGACTTCTCAGCAAGAAAGATGGGGTGACTGGCTGCACCAGAGCTTCTATGTCAGATAGACTTGAGAGTGCAATATGGTTGATAGGAGATGCTTGCAATTTTTTGCTTAAGATTAAGAAATGGGTGCCTGGCTGGTTCAGTTGGTACAGCATGCAACTCTCGATCTCAGTGTCCTGAGTTCAAGCTCCAAGTTGAGCATGGAGCCTACTTAGGAAAAAAAAAAAGATTAAGAAACATAAACTTTCTGAATCAAATAATTGGAGGAGAGAAGGGATGTTATGGAGATCACAAAGGGTCAAAGCCCTCCCTTCATAGCAAAAATGAATGCGTATAGATATAGAGATGATATAGAGATGACCATTAGCAGGTTTTGCAAGCAGTGTGACAAGATGAGATTGACAGCTGTGATATTAGAGGCAAGAATGAGTTATGTGAATGGGGGAAAAAACAACAACCCTAACCTGGAAGGGTATACATCTGACTATGACAGAGATGACTGTTACATCAGGTGAGGAGTTAATCCTGTGAAGCGTTCTCCATAAACATAGATAGTTTAAATAGGGCTCTTCCAAACATTCTCTAGGACCATGCTACTCAACGTGAGGTGTGTGGACCAACAGCGTCATATTATCTGAGAACCTGTTAGAAATACAGAAATTTAGGTCCCACCCAGACCTATTGAATCTGCATTTTAATAAGATTCTTGGGTGATTTGTATGTATGTCATATTTTGAGAATCTTGTGTGACAACCATGGGGAAGTGCCTCTTAGATGTTAAAGAAGACCCCAGCTCCTGTGCTCTGGGACCCATTATTCCATTTGCACTGAGGCTATGCTTCCCATGGGCTGTTCTCAACAAAGCAGAGTTATACAAACTGGCCCGTTCTTAGGAGACAAGACCCCTCTGGTGGGGTACTTGGGCTCCAGGGTTCCCCTGAAGGCCTTGCCGAACTTTTCTT